CCCCCCCCCCCACCCCCTTGTCCCACAGGGTGCCTGCTCGCTGACTAGTCAAAACAAAGATCAGAATAATCAGGGGAGCCAAGAAACACAATTAAATTACCGTTGCTGCTTCCGGTTTAGTTTTCTAATGCCCCATTGGTTTCCTCCTTGAAACGCAACATTACTTATTCATACGGTTGATTCCGCAAGTGGGCAAGATGAAGCGTATCCAGTGTTCTTACTGGCTACCCTAGTGGGCACGATGGTAGCTCGGGATATCCTGCGTTAGTCCCGCAAGAAAAATGTACCTTTTTGGCCATATTTGAAATCCTTTATTCAGTTGACCAAGCGTATTCGGTCAAGATGGCTTGATGTTGGCCTCGCTCTTTTTTGCGTTTTTATTGACCTCGACAACGCAAAAAAAAGCCCATAGCCAATATCCAGCCATGTTGACCGAATACGCCTGGTCAGTTATGTATGTAGAAATACTAATGGTGTTCACAGTGTTTTTTTTAGTTTCAAAGAAATTGGGTTGCGTAGTTTTCTCCCAAACTTGGATGAGTTCTGATAATCTCCTCTCCTCCCTACCCCCCCTCCCTGATATTCTTTCCCTACCTTACATTCATCCACTACTATCGTAGGCGCATATTTCTTGGTTCCACTAGCATGTATTTCTATTCCGTTATCAGCTTTAAGCTTAATAGAGTGTTGGTAACTGCCAGAACTCTGTTTAAACCAGGCGGTGGAGTTTAAGCAGTGATAAGTGATGCTCTGTTTGGCATGGTCACTTAAAAGTCGAAGGAATGTCAGTTGTGTGGGATCACAGTCGTAAATAAACTGTTGGAAAGAAAAATGTGAGTACATGCTCGTCTTACAAAATATCCTAGTCCTGTCTTAAAAGTTTCTTTTATTATTTTCCCTCTTAGGCCAAATCATTTCAACACTTTATTCTAATTAAAAATGAGGAGTGTTTGCATCATTTGCAAACTTTCATTTTGCCCCTACAATGGAGGGAAAATTCTGAGCTGTCGTCTCCATTAGAACCTTGTTCACACTGGATTGATAATGTCACATGACGTTTGACCTGATCAGTCTGGTCCAGATCGTTGGAGGGTCAGGGGCGGATCCAGGATTTTTTCTTAGGAGGGGGTGTAACACTTTGGAACAACCATTTTAACTACCATTTTTACGGAGTTTAACATAAATTCTTCAACCTTCTCTCTTGTTTTACTTCGGCGGAAAGGATCATGGGAAAGCTACAAAATCGTAAGGGTACATGGGAAGGCTTAACGTGAAAAGCGAAGAAGCGCTTCCCGCTTTTCGCTCCTCCCATGACCCCTTGTTCCGCAACTACCACCAAAAATCCGGCCAAGAAGCGGCTGGTTACAAAGGAGGTATTATCCGTGAATACTTGGCTTATACGAAATATACTATATATACGGCGTGGTTATCTTCATAGCTTTCGCTGTGGATGAGAAAAATTAAAATCCCAACAATTTGTTGGCCATCATCGGAGCTTAATAACAAATGTTCACACGTAACAAACTTACCTGAGGGCGCAACTCAAATTCTCTTGCAAACCATTTGTAACCATCAGATCCTGAGAACCATTTTTTATTTCCAGTCTGCTCAAAAATGAAAATGAATTTTACAGGATCATTAGCGAGAGACGATAGCTTCTTTTCACCGCGCTGTTCCATCGGGCGTCGGTTTGCAGTTTTTTATGCAATTTTTGTCGTGCCTTCAGCGCAGCTTTCAGTGTAAGTTGACAGCAATTTTTTTTTTAGTTGGAACTTTAAAAACAACAACGCCAACAAGAAAAAGACAGGGAGTTTTGTGTGTGTTTGTAGTGGGGGCTCTGTTACATGATGGATGGATAAAGTATAGCGTTTTTTTTTCTAAACCTAGCCTGTAAAGCGCCTGTTATGCAGGCTATTCTAAACCTAACGGGAGTGAAAACGTTGTAAGACAGGAAATTGAGTAATTTTAATTTTCAGTGGACAAGAACCTTGTACCAGAATGATTTAAACAATATCG